TGGTTAATACTCACATGTACATTCACATTTCAGATAAAAAGAGGAAAATCATTATGCTGGATAACTAAAATAAAATCGAGTACATGACAATATTTTACCTAGATAATATATTTCATTTAATATGCATAGAAATCTTTTAAAAACACTCAATTTAAGTCAATGCACCGCAGTGTATCCTTTCCACTGCCTTTGAAGTCAATCAGCATGGAGTTTGAGAGGAAGCTAGGAATTGGGCAGAATGTTCCTAAAACACTCTGAGTTCCTTAGATGAAAGGTGCTATTTAAGTACAAAGCATTTAATTTCAGCATATTTAACAACTCCACTCACGTCCAGGCCAATACCTAACTTGACCTCACCTATTTGGTACTTGGAGATATAATCCTTAAGTTAAATTTCTCCAATAGGGTGTGTGTAACTTCATTTCATAAACCTAGTTCAGAAAAAATATCATCAAAAGAGGAAGATTCCATAAATATCATATTCTATGTCTGTGAATAGCAGAAAATCTGTCCATTAGGAAGGAAAGTACAAGGCTAACAAAAGATATTTGTTACTAAAGAGACTGAAAGAGTTACTTTCTCCAAGAGTAGAGCATTCTTTCTTAATATTGAATAAAGTCCCTGGTAATGCCACTGGACTGGGGATACAGAAGCTACTGTTACATATTTTCTCCTTAGTTTATATTTTCAAGTGGCAAAGAAAATTGAGGCGTGGAGGCAGCTGGCTGTAAGGGAGAGTTATTTTCTACTCAAAAGACATTCTTAGTGTAAGTAAAAAAATTGTGGATTATGGAGAAAAGGTAGTCTCTCTTCTAAAAATTCATTTAAAAATTAACAACTATGATATTTTCTCTTTTTTGATTTCTTTATCTTAAAAAATTTTATTTACACAAGTAGTACGAAAAATATAGTGTCCTCTTCAAAAGTTAAAGCGTTATTGATAATGTTGATCAATTTTCGCTATATCTCCATCTTGCCCCTCAATTCCTCCTCATTCCTTTCCCCTTCCCCATCCCTGCCTAGAGTAACCATTGTTAATGAGTTAGGTGAATATTATCCCAACATTATTAAAATGCTTTTATTATAAAATATTTTCTTGTTATTCATTTTTCTACAATACACTTGGTTTAGATCTTTTTTTTTCAAGAAAAACATTGTCTTATTAAGATGAGAAAATAATATTATTCTATTACAATGAGCACTTTTATGTGTTTTGTATATTTTCTTTTTAAATTATCTGTGGATTATCAAATTTCCCATCATGTAACTTTTAACATTTTCAGTGATTCTGAACTCATCTCTCTTCTCAGAAGCAGAAGAGTTTATTGTCGAGGAGACCTCACAAGGCAACTCGACTTACACAAGAAGAAGAGAGGTTTTCCTTCAGGCTCATCCAGGAGCCCCCCACCAGGACTCTGGGTCCCTCAGACCTTTTTCAAGCCTCATCCTTGTCCTTCATTTCTGCAGACCTAAGGTTGGACCAGCTGACTTCTCTTGGACTACTGCTTAAGCCAGCAATCCTCCTTATGCCTGCTAGACTACACTCCTAGGTGATTCATCCCTGCATGGTGAGCATGCGTAATGACACAGTATCCCAAAATAACCATAATCCAGGAAATAAAAAGTGAGGAATCATAAAAATGTGTCAGGAGATACAGGAAAAAACCCTTTAAGAATGTTTCCATGGCATCTTCTCTGGCTCTGCCTTCCCACCCCCCGTATCCACATATGACCTCCAGTTGGCTAATTCCCATCTACACCAGTCCAGAAGCACAGCTACTAGGAACAGAAGCCAGGGATTAAAAGGCTATTTTTTGATGTTGGGTAGAAAAGAAAGTCAAAGAGACTCAGATATTAAGAAATAGAAACAAGTTTTGAGATAAGAGCTGACACAAGTTAGTGTGCCAATCAGGCAGATTGGAAGTTGAAGACTGGACAGGGGAACTGACCCATGGCAGTTTGAGAACTCGAGCAGCACTAGAAAAAAACGATCCATGCTGTGGAGGTGAATCATCAAGTATCTTAGCCGGACGCTATGAAACATACATGTTATATAATTAAGCTTCAGTATTTGGATTCCACACTCACTACACAATTTTCTGATTATAACCTGGATACTCACATATGTTTGCTTACAAGAAAAACTGAGCTGTGTAATTCTAAGAATTCTTATTGAAAATATATGTGTTTATATGTATACATATGTGTATAAATATATATATTTATACTCAGTGTTTTTAGCTTGATTAATGTGATTCATTCCTAAGAGTGGATACATTCTCAGTGTGCTGACATCAAGTTTCTGAGACTGTAAATTAAAATCCAGATTCCAGATTGTGGTAAATTCACAATAATAATAAAGACCGCCTGGCCTTCCCACTGCTAGTTCTGCTCTGACATATTTTATCATTGTCATCAGAAATAACTATAACCCCAACATGGAGGCCTAGGCCCATTTAAACAAACCTAACAAGGAAAAGTGACATCATATAGCTATTAGCTTTGTGCATCCACCAAAAAAAAATCAGGGAAAAAGTGGTTATATTTTTAAAAATATGGGACACTTGTTCTCCCAATAAACTATACCAAGCCTCCTTTACTTTTAAAGAACACATGATCACTTTAATAAAAATAATAGCTATCAATAGTTCTGATCTTACGAAAGGGAAAAAATTCATAAATATCCATTGGTTGGCAATCAATAAATCTCCAAATAATCCTGTGAGGTGGTCAATATTATCCCTCACTTACAAATAAAAATATCGAGGCACAGAACACTAAGGATCACGTCTAACGTTTACAGCAAGCAAGAAATAAGAAAGCCAGGACTGGAAGCCAGATCTGGTTCCAAACCCAGTGTTCCTCACAGCTGTGCTGGAGTCCAGTCTTGAGGTGACCCAACGAGCAGACCTTCCCCTCCAATGTGTGGTCCACTCAGGGGCCCTGGTGATTCGGCAATGCTTTATAACTTAAATCATTACGTTGACTTGAGGAACTCCACCTCCTCAATTTCCCCAAATCACCACCTGAAGCATACAACCAAATAAAAATTAAGCCCCAATTAAACTGAAGCCTGCTTGACTCCCTATTCCGTAAATGGTGTCTGAATTATCACTAATCCCTGCCCCCTTCCTATTTCATTAACTAATTGGCTTCCTCAATATTGCCTCTTTATGGAATGAGTTGTAGATTGTTGTGCCACTCAGGCCATGGCCTTGGGCCATAGAACCTCAGCTTCTGCAGTCATGGAAGTTTTACAAATCTCCTTTTCATGGTCCTACTTTTCCCTCCAATGACCAGTGTAGGTTTCCCTGTCCACTTTCCTCTAGTTTATCTGAGTGAAAACAGAGGCCTCAGTCCCTCCTTAACTCATCTTAATATAATGGAATCATCTCCTTGTGTTCCCTTCTGATTCAGATGTTCCTTGTAATAAAATCTTCCTCTATAGATGAAGTAAGGCGGCTCTAACAAAACAAGGAGCGAAGAACAAAGTGCAGGGAACACAGTGGCTTTTTAAAACCTAGGATTGCAGACTGAGCTCCACCATTTCCGTTATCTCAAGTAGAGCTGGAAATATGCACCGCATTGTGTATGTTGATAAAGTACGTTAGTTGACCCTACATTCTTTATGAAACTACAGTTTTAAATCCTAGATATTATTCCCATGATCACCAATTCCAGGATGAAAATACAACTTATAAAAGCTTAGACCATACCATAGGCTATTATCCCGATTAGACTCAAAATTACCAGTTAAGAAAAAATATATATATTTCCATTTTCAATTCTAGCACTAACTATCTGACAGATAAAGTAATCTCAATGTTTGCACCTTTTTGGACACATCAGATTAGTTTGATCGCCACATGTGAAATACCTATAATTTCTGTGAACAATTCAGTATTAGCAAAGCATAATCAAAACCACAATCACTTAGTGATACTATGAAAATATCCCTAATGTTTAAGGTAAAATAGTTAATATCTGACTTATTTAACATAAACCATAATATCATAATAAAACACATCATTAATCTTATATTATTATTATTTTTTTAATTTTGGTGCTTGAACTGAGCCTCATAGCCTGGCTCTAATGTTACCTCTGCAACAAGGAATAGAAATTTCAACAAATTTTACATATATTCTCATTTCGTCTGTTGCCTGTTATAAGTAAAACATAATGTACAAACTGAAAAAATACATAATTATATATAAATGATGTGCTTTATGTAATTTGAGTCATTTTTCCTTTTAAAAAATGACTTCACCTCATCCTGATGTTCTTGCAGTTTAAAAATGTGATAACCAATTTTTATTGTAATAAATGATAACTCATCATAAAGTCAGCCAGTCAACATCACAGATCCTTTTTAATATTAGCAGGTTAAAAAGAAAATTGACATAAAATGCATAATTATATAATTACAGATAATGTCTGCCAGACCTTGCAAATGAGTATTTGGCTGCTATGGGTCTCAGTCTTTCTTTCATCAGAACTCTTAGGAATTTGCATTCCTGAAAAGGGATTATACTGCTTTATATTAAGATCCATTTGCTTTAAAAATTATAATTTTCAGAACAAACGAAGTTTTTATTCAAGTTCACCAAAGATCATTTTGATGGATACCTTTTACAATACTACAATTGCCTTTTCAAGTTTATTGGGATTCAACGTATAATTAGTTTCTTTATTACAGACTACCTCTCAAATTACACATTTCAGCCTAATGGAAGTCCATTTAATTAACTGTGTTGGTGATGATCATGTAGACCCCTGAGTCACTATACTTTACCTCTAGTGTAAGCTAAATTTTAAGGAAAATTTATTTTCGTTTCAGAATTTATGAAATTAAAAGAGAGAGCATTGCAGATTTGGTTTTAAAAAGAACTGAAAACCTCTTTGAAAAATTATAAAGTTGTCTTACAAAAGTTCTTGTACTGTGAAGATAGAAAACTAAGGAATAAAAAGATATAGGGAAAAAACAAGCCCCTACTTACCAGGTGTGAAATTGTATCGAGCCGAAAATCCCATAGATTCCAGCTCTCCATCAGCAAAAAATTTAATCCATAGAAATCTTCCACTGGATTTTATTACAGGTGGATTTTGTTGTCCACAAAAACGTCCAATTATTGGAGAAAATCCAAAAGGTCCATCTCGAACTTCAATATGATCAAATTTGCACTCCCAAGACGGTTCAATAGAGTACTTTTCATCAAAGTAAAGTTCAATGCACTGTCTTGGCGCAGCTGAAAAAAACAAAAATTATGTCTAGAAGACCTTTTTAAAATCTTTAGTTTGATTTCTCTAATTCTACTTCAGATTTTATCTGCATACCTTCTATCAAACTTTGAGTATGACATGCCTGGAAACGCAAAGCAAGTATACTATACTTAGCATTCTAAGGGTCATTATTTCCATAAGAATGTCTAAAGGATGATCCTTAAAATTGACGATGTTGCACAAAGTATTACTCTGATATAAAATACCATTTCGATGTCTAGCACAGAACTAACAAATCACAGTATTTTTTGTGAAATGCTGTTAACTCAGGTTTAGAAAGTAGAGAGGCATCTTTCTGTCACTTCTCCCGTATTTCCTGGAGTACCCAGTTTTAAGGTCAGAAACCACTTGAGAATTGTTCAGCATAGAGTTATACAACCGTTCAAATAGTCCCAAGCAGATGCCTTGATTAGATCCAGGTGCATATACAAGGGTATTAAGAGTAATTTTTCTTTAAGAGTAAAACACAAATCTTATCATGTTACTCTCAGGTTTAAACTCATTCAGCAACCATCAGCTACAGGAAAATGATCAACATACTTTACATATAGGATCCTTAAGGGTATCCTACAATCCTCACCTTCAGGGTCTTCTCACCTTGCACGCAGCCCAAGCTCAGGCCACTTCAGACGTATCCTGTTTCTACAATACAAGCTCCTTCAGGTTTTCATGTCTTTTCCCACTTTCTTGAGTATCTATCTACCTCCCATTTGTTAACTCTTGTTTACGTAGGCGAATCCTCTCTAAATCTACTCACTAAAGACAAAATCTATTCACCTTCTTTTTTAGGACTCAGCACAGTACTTGTCATTGAGGATTTCTCAAAAAATCTTTGTTGGGTGAATTGTGAATGAGCTTATCTTCATAAATGTTTTTATAGCTCTCTAAAGAACCATGGAAGAGCCTTATAGGGCTAGCAGGTCTGTAAACCTCCACTTGGATGCACTGGTTAGTCCCCTTCCATTCTTCCTTTGTCATGTGTCCAAAACAGTTCACAATTCTGGCATTCCAGGCTGATATTGAGCCAGGATAGCCCAGAATAGCCATAACAGTTGTTGAAACATCACACACATTTATCCTAGCTAGTAGACAGCCATTGCCTTAGGTCCTTTGACTGCTTCCCAGCCACTTGGCCCTCTTTAGGGACTAACCCCCTCCAGAGACTTGAAAGTTAAGACCTGGCACAGCAGGGCCAGCTCCCCATGTGATCAGCAATCATTCTGAATGACTGCTATCCACACCACACCATCACCCTTGATGGCTTTAAAACCAAGGTCTTGTAAGCATGGATGTCAAAAATTTATATAGAATTGAGATACATGATGACTTGGAAATTAGAGACTTATAGAATAAAATATAATCCTGAGATCTCCAAGATAAACTTGAAGATCAATTGGTTAAAGATCAATGCATGTTAAAAGACTACTTTAAGGATTATTTTTAGTCTCTAAAATGTTTCTGACTCTGGATATTGAAAAGATACATTTGTAACTCTCGCAAGCAAAATCACAAATGGTTTTATCTACGACTTATGTATATCAAGAAGGTTAACAAATATAGCATGTACCATAAAGATAGATTTGAGGCAGTTTCAATGAATTTTTAAAATCTGAAAATTGGAAAATACCCTAAGAACTTGCCTGGAAAACTATGTTTTTACTCCTAAAGTATTAGTCCTAAAACAAAAAGGCAAATGCTTGAGAAATGGGACTATTTGTATATTAGCATTAAAGTACCATTTATATGTGTCATTATCCTATAGAATATGTCTATCTCCTCTTTGATAAGCCAGTATGATGTTTTATGAGGAAACAAACTATTTCAGAATGTCGGATATTTCTTTTAGAAGTAAACAATATATGGCTAGGGGATGGTAAAGCAAGAAGAACAACCCTGTGCTAATTTATATAAAACTCTGTATATCAACACGTATCTCTCTATTTTCCCTATCAGGAAATATATGGCCATATAACATGAATTCATTTATTCATACCTTCATTTTGCATTGTCACTTAAGTTCTGTCCAGCATGGATGAACAAACATCTCAACGTTCCTTCAGGAAACGTACTATCTTTTGGCTCTTGATGGACCACATTATACGTGGACAATTCATTTTCCTTTGGTCCAGCAAGTTGAAATTAACTACACACACTCAATACATGAAATTACATAAGTTGCATTTTAGAAGGTAATAAAATAACTTTTAAAAAATAAGTATGTCATATAGTTCTTGTTGTGGATTTAAAAATGAGTGACTATGGTACATGACAACCGTTTGAAGCTATCTAGGTCCAGCTCCCTAAACTCACATTTTGTTTCCCTTCAAATCTCTCAATTCACAGCTGCCTTCCACTTTAACATTTTCTATAAGCCATCGTTGATCTAAAACAGAGCTTCCTTTTCTAGAGTTTGTACCCTCTTTGAGGCTCTTTGGACATAGTTGAGAACTATGAGCACGTCCACCTGAATCTGCACATGTATGCAGAACATCGCTTCCTGTCTGAAAGAGTTTTAAGACCACCTGAAATCCATAAAAGGGATCCTCCTTGCTGTGACTAAGACTCCACCTGTATTTATCACAACCTAGCTTAGCTCAAGAAACCTGATCAATTATTTATCCCTCCTTCTCTTGCACTTTAACCTTACCTTTATCTACAGAACAGGCTACTCTTTTCAGAATTCAACATGACAATTTACCCCATTAAAAGAAGAAAAGAAAGAAAGAAAGGGAAAATTGCCTTTTCATTGTGGACCGTCAACATCCCCCATGCAGTCTTCCATCCACTGAGAGCTGGCTCCCACCCCCACAATGCCAATGACAGCACATATCCTGAAGTTACTAAAAGAGTCTTAATTGCCTCATGCAATAGATGCATTTGCTTTTACTTTATTTTTCTTTGCTGTAAAAACTGATATTTTGCCTACTCCCTGAAAGTTTGTCCACTTTAGCTGCTGTGACATCTTTTACCTGGTCCTCCAGTCCATCTCTCTGGCTTTTCCTTCGCAGTCCCTCTTACCTTTCGCCTTCCTCCGCCCATCCCTGACATGTTATTTTCCAGAATTCTAATCTACACCTTCTTTCCTTTCTTTCTAGACCAGTTCTCTTGGTGCCGCTGGCATCCACTGGAGAGCTATTATAGTATAATGATGTCTGTAGCTCTATCTAAGACCAATTAAATCAAAATTCCTGGGAGCAGACGCAGGAATCCGTATTTTTTGAAAGAGTTGAGAAACAGTGCTCAAACACTCTCTCTGGATAATTTTATTCATTCCAACAGCCTCAACAACAATCTCTGTATAAATATACATTTTCATCCCAGAACTCTCTACTGAGCTAAAGATCCATGTATCCAATCTCTTTATGAGACATCTTCATAAATACAAAATTGAACACATTATTTTTCCTTTAAATCCTCTTTCTCCATCTATATTCTTTATCTGGCAGGGTCATTTCGTCTAACAAGTCACCAAACCAAAAACTTTACAATAGTCCTGGGATTCCCTGTTCTCTCATTCCTACATCCAGTCACTTGTGATTCAGTTTCCTAAATACCTCTCCTTTCTTCCTTTGACTCCATCACCAATGTCTCTTCTGTCGTTCAGGCTTTTACTGTGGTTGACTTGGTCTTTCGCAATAGTTTCAGCTTACATTCTTTTCCTTCAGGTACTTCATCAAAATCTCACTTTATTATTTCTCTAATTAAATTATTTCAACGGCACTCCATTGTCTATAACGTAAAGTCCAAACTTACGTGGGTGGAACCGATGGAATACCAGGTTCTCCTTTATCTGAGACTGCCTACCTCTTCAGCCTCCTCACTTGTTCCCTCCTCACTCTATGCAGAAGCCCTTTGATACTACATGTGGGTCCTGACCACACCATATCTAGACCCATTGCACATGCTATTCTGTATACAGAATGATCATCTCCTTGATGTTCTTCAAAACTGAATGTAAGCATCTCTTCCTCTTACAGCCTTCTCTTCCTTCTCCCTATGCCAAACACTGTGCTAATCCTGGGGCCCCTTTAGACTGTTTACTGAAAGGCGCATCGTTCTCAGACCGTATTGTAAGTTCCATAAGGCAAGTACCATGTCTGTTTTGTTCAATACTCTCTAAACTGTATCTAGAAGAGGGGTTGTTTCTTAGTTTGTTCAATAGATAATTGTTAAATAAGTACATGAAGGAACAAAATAGTTAGTATCAAGTATTTCAAAAAGGGTATAGAAGTATCATTAATAGTAAAAGGAGGTTCTATTTATTTCCCAACTTTAAGTTTTGTCATTGACTTAACCACAAATGAATGCACATATATGAATGATATTAAAATAAAATGTTAGCAATGTTTTTTAATTATAAATAATAATAAAAATGAAAACACAATAACATGTCGAGATTTGCTTCTGAATTAATTCTTTCAATGAGAGAACTATTTGACTTTATTCTTTCTAATAATTTGGATTTTTATATACTGTTGCTTCAAAACACAAATTATGTTATGTGAATTTAAGCAAGATATTTAACCTCCTGTGCCTCAGTTTCCTTATCTGTAAAATGGAGACAACAAAAAATACCTACTTCCTACGATTAAATGTTTTACTACATGTTAAGTTCTTTGAAAGTTCCTAATATATATACAATAGACATGGAAATTAACTGGATAAAAAGAACATCTAAGTTTAACCCAGAATTTCCATATTTCAATTTCCTTTTCTATCAAACATAAGAGGAAGAAAAACTGCCAGCGCTCAGTTTTCTCAGCTTTATCTTTTTATTATTAAAGCTTATGCTTTCTCCTTCTTCTTGTAGTGTGGTGTATATTTGCTAAAAGTTCAACTTCAAGCACAACAAGGAGAGAAGAAAGATCCATGGCCCAAAAATTACAAAAAGAAAAAGAATCATTTCTAAATAGAAATTCTTAAATCAATTAAACAGAAGGCCTTTTTCTTTGAAAGAGCTATCAAATAAATATGTCCCTCATTTACGAGTCAATACTGAGCATATATATCTTTTTCCTTAAGGTAGCTCAGTCCACGTGTGTGTGTTGGGGGGGCGGTGCAAGTTTTCGGCTATTAGGTACTAACACTTATACTGAAATCTTCTATCATTAGATGAAATATTGATGTTTTCAAAAATTGTGCTTCATCGATCAGTGTCTACAAGGGAAATAGAAATAGGAAATGTTCAAAGAAAAATGAATCTCTTTTTCAGCACTATTTATCCTTAGATCTGGGAGAAAATGATGAAAAGAGGCACCGTAGTGTGGAATCCTGACTTTGGCATTAAAGTATGATACTATCACTCACTAGCACAAACTAAGGCAAATGACATTCAGACTGATGTTCAGAAAGCATGATTATAGATTTATTTCTGACATTAATATGTTATTTGTGCTTCATATTATTAAAGGAAAATAACAAATGTATAGGTTATTCTAATAATTTTTAAACTAATAAAATATTAGGTTATAAAATTGTTACACATGAGGTAATATTATGCCAACTCTGCATCCAACTCTTACTTTAGAATTCCAAATCAATCAAATCCATTGCAAAATAAGCTAAGTTGTTGATTTGTTTTTATTTCCCACAATTTACTTGTTCATAACCTATTACTAATAATTTCAATAATTAGCTTGATTCCAGATTTCACTGCCGTTTGCTTCACTCAGAGATATTTATGTACATGGTCTCCAAAACCAATTTTTGTAATATCTGTATGTCTATTGTCCAACCAAAACACAGAGAGGGCCAGGTCTGGCTTCAAATTCTCTCCAGCTTTGGCACACTCTGCCCTTACCTTCTATGATGTAGATGCACTCTCGGTCAGGGGGGTACTTGCTGGGATAGTTGGGAGAGGTAAAGATACCTCCGTCTGCATGTTTTGTCCAAGTTCCACACTGCACTGATTTCTGTGTTTCTGAGGTGGTTTGCTTTTCTGCAAAAAATTTTAAAAAGAGCCATTATCCAATTTTCTATAAAACTAAAAATAAAGGACATTCTTATAATATCCATTAGTAAATTAATTTCTAAATGTCATCTTAGTCAAAACCAATCAATTATACACACTATAAAATGTTCAGATATTCTGGAATATTAAGAATATGGGAACAATAAGAAAATGCAAATAATTAGAAGTCTTCCACTCGCGTTTTTCCAAAGAAACACACCTGTTCCTTTCTTGGTTGCCCCAGACAAATGGAGGATGATTAAACTTGCTACAACTGAAACAGAAAAGAAAAATGAGAAAGAGATAATATTAGCATACACTGAAATGATCAAATTCTATAACAAAAATTTAAATTCTATAACATAATTTAAAGACAAAATGATATCAAATCAGATTAATTTTATTATTGGTAACTTTTCCGAGTTGACTCAGAACTTGCAGAAACTGATTCAAAACGTACAAATCAGGAAAACTTAGGAATCCTTCAGGAAGTAATGTACGTTAAAAATGGATGAGACCCAAACTCCTATGGCAAATGCACACTTCAACTAAGAGGCAATATTGTGATGTACTAATGTCACATTACAGCAGGATTACAGGACCCACACTGTTTCTAAACTGCCATTCATGAATAGCTTTGCTAGCATCTCTAAAGAAAGAGTGACAGCACTTAAAAGGATGAAAAGAAAAGCAAACAATGAGAAAGGACTCCAAGATTGATCCTAACACATTGCCAATGTTGTTGTATTTTAGAAAATACATACTTAGGCAAATCCTATGGCTTGTGGGGGAGGGGCATAGAAGAAAAACAGATTAACGTGGATTGGAGGCATTAAGCAGCATTATAAAAAGTTTCTTATAAAAATGTACAGAACTGCCAAGTAATCCCAGTCTTCAGCATTTTCTAAGCTATGAAATTAATCTCTTTGAATCTTAACCTTGATTTAATATTTAGTATTATTCAAAAATACATTATTATTTTGAGAAAGGTAAATTCTATGAGCATTTTATTCAGTCAACTTTTCAGTATCAAAAAGAGACTCTGATCGGTAACAAGACTAAATCTGCAAAGACTATTGTAACCTGAACTTCTGTTTTATTGTCATATTCTTGATTTACTCAATATTTTTACAAAACCTAAAACCAGAAAAGTATTAAAGCAATCTAGTCTTCCTAATTTCCGATTTTTCCTCCTCTACTTAATTTTTGTAATTTATTTTGTTGCCCAGTTACCTAAAGGCTCTAAGTTCTATTAGGTGTATAATCATATTTCCACTTAAAATGAATTTGGGAAAGGGAGGGTATAATTCACAATGATTTCCTAAACTAAAGCTCACTACTAGAGCTTATAAATCCAAAAAAAGTATGTGGGCTGTGTTATTAGTATTTGAGAAATTATATCAATTATGTTACTTTGTGCACTAATCTGGTCATCTGCTTTTAGATTAAAATATTAGTTATTGTTATCTGTTTAAATTGAAAAAAGAATCTTATTTGAACTTGCCATAATTTTACACACACACACACACACACACACGGGTATATAGCCACCAATACGAGGATGTACCTTTGGTATTTTCTTTACTCTGCTTTTCCTGTTTTGGTGGAATCACATTGTGGAACATGTACTATGATTAACACATCAGCAAAGCCGGTCTTTCAACTGCGTGGCACAGGATTAACCTCTAATCCTTGCCTTATAACGTGAAATCACCCCCCCCACACACACACACACATTTTCTTCTATTGCCTTCTGCTCGATGACTTCTGATGCTATTTTCCTCCAATTCCTTGCCTCCTCAACTGCACACACTCATAAAGCAACACTGGAGGTCTACTGGCCAGAAGAGTTGAGGTTGGCACCTGCTCTCCCCTCAAGCGCTGCGTTCAGGTTTACCCTAAATTACCGACGGGAGTGGGAATACGGGCCCGCTGAGCTCCAGAAGCCCCTGAAAGAGAAATATTCCTTCTCATCCCACAAACTCTCAGCCCCGCTCTCTCCCTCTTGCTATCTGCGTCCTCCCTCGGGCCCACTCCCCAGCCTCGTCCGCACGTGCCCATCCCTGAACTACTCGCTATTCTCAGCCCCCGGGATGTTGCTGCGTGCGGCAACACTGTTTTCCTTGGCAGGTTCTGAGCTCCAGCGACGACTGACTGCGCCGCCCCCACGCCCCGTTCTATTATGCTGCAATACAGAAAGTTTACATCTGCCCCAGACTCGCGGGGACTGCGGGGTCCGGCTGGAGCGCGGTGGCGAGGCTTTTCCCTGAGCGTTCAGCCACGAGAGAGGAGAGGGAGGGAGGGAGGGGACCCGGAGCGGACCGGAGCGGCGGGAAAGGTACTCACTGTGAAACAAACTGCGTCCATAGATCATGTCTGTTCGTTACACCAGAGGCTCCGATCTCCACTAATTCCATTTAGAGACGGGAAGACTTCCAGTGGTGGGGGAGAGGATGGAGTCGAGAGATTTTAAATATGCAAACCAAGAGCAAAATGAAGGGGGGGAAGAGAGAGAGGAAAGCAAGAGATCCGAGCCCACACAGCAGCAAGATCCGAATTCGTGCGTCCTCCGCCCCTGGCTCGCTCTCGCTGGCTCTCACCGCCGCGAAGCCAGCATCCCCACCATGACGCTCGCATCACACCCGGGCGCCGATCGCCACCATCAGCACCGCCGGCGGCAGCACCCTCCTCCTTTGCATCATCGCCGCCGCCGCAGCTGTCAGGAGGACGCGCGGGCAGTCGGCGCGCGGGCG